GGGATGGGGCTAGTGGCAGCGGCAGCGGCCTGCAGGGCAACGTGCTTGTCCCGCGGGCGCTGGCGCCGCCAGAGTTTGCGGACGTCGTGTTCGCGCTGGGCTGCGGCTGGCCAGAGGGCGGCCTGCTGCTGGATATGGTCGTCTCCGCCACACTGCCGGCCATGGAGCTGGCGGGCGACCCCGAGGCGCTCGCGCCGCTGCTGCGCCGCGTCGGCTGCGCGGGGCAGCTGCCGCCGTTTGCGCGGTGCGTGCGCGCGTCCACGGTGAAGAGGTTCCGGAATTGCGGGATTTTCTGGCCAGTGAGCGCCGACCTGGTGGCGGCGATGGTGGTGTGGATTGGGCGGGCGCAGGTAGTGCGGGAGGAGGGCTCAGAGGAGGACGAGGAAAGTGACGATAGCACAGGGGATGATGACGATGAGCCGCAGGGGGAGGGGGAGGGGGATTACGAGGATGAGGATGATGATGATGAGGAGGAGGCTGATTATGACGATGAGGAGGAGGAGTAGGAGGGAGGAGGGTAGGGTGGCAATGGCACGGGCTGACGGGCAGGTGCGGCCTCAGCATCCCTTTGACTGCGGTAACCAGTGGACTTGGAAGCATTTGCCCAAGCACAGCAACAGCTACCATTGGAACATGGCACGTGATGCACGAACGTATGCGGAGCTTGCACATGACCGCCGCATGCACTTTTGATACGCCATGCCTGTCAGCCGTGGCAGTGCTTTTTTACTGTGAGTTGCATGTGTGCTGCCCCTCCCAGACATGCCCTGCTAGTGCTACTCCCACAGCATGGCGTATTGGTATGGCCACTAGTGCAGGGATCCACCCAGTCACTGTACGGAGGCATGCTGCAAGGTGCGGCTTTGCAGTGTCAGGGGTCAAGCAGTCAATGTTTCATTGCAGATAGCCATGCAGCAGCGCAGCTGAACGTCTCCACTATCAGCTTGGAGACGCACTGAGTTCTTCTGAAAGTTACGTCAGCCACTTCTTGCACGGTACACACACAGATCAAACTCCCACGATGGAGTGGCTCGCAGATCATCCATCGTGACGATGATCCTGCCGTGCGTCGCGCACTGCCAGTATAGGCTGAAAGAATCATCGTAATTTACGTGCACGTGAACTTACGTGCACACAGACGGCTGCGTCCCTTGGCTGAACGTACGCCCTTACTGTTAGCGGCGCCACGCGCGACGATGCAGAGTGCCAGAGGCCTGTGCCTGCTGGATGCGCCCGACGGCGTCCTGTGCACAGTGCTTCTATGCCTTGACGACCCATGGGCATTTTCTGGGACATGTCGGTGAGCATCCTCCATTCAGAAGCACTGCAGCACCCTTACGTCGCTGCCGCCGCCGCCGCCGCGAGTCGGCCCGCAGCGCTGCCGTTTCGCCGGCTCGAGCCAACCCCGCCATCCCCCGCAGGCGTGTGTGGCAGCTGAGCAGGCACTGCCTGACAGACTGGCTGCTGCGGCACCACGGCCGCGCCGCCCCGCTCCGCGAATGGCAGCACGCCGCCATCACATGGCACGCACTCCGCGGCCTGTCGACGCGGCAGCTCGCTGAGTGGCTGCTCGCCTGCTCGCGGCGCGCGCGCGAGCTCGCGCGCGACCCCGCGGCGACGGCGCCGCGGCAGCGCCACCGCGCGCGGCTTTTCACGCGCCAAGGCGACGTGGATCAGCGCGCGGCCGAGGCTAGGGCTGAGGGCCTCCTGTGCGGCGGCGACGCGGCGGGGGCAGTCGCCGCGGTCAGCGACGCGCGCGGCGCCTTGCTGGTGCTCATCCTCTACGCCGCCCAGGCCGGCCGCGCTGACCTGGCGCTCGACCTTTCCAAGCGCGCCGGCGCCCCGTTCATCTCTATGCTCTCCCCCGCGGCCGCGCTGCGCGGCGGCCACCCCGAACTCGCCATGCGCCTCGCCCGCGCCCCCGGCGCGGCCGTCGTGGTGCCAGGCGGCCGCGGGCTCTTTGTGCTCTTCGCGGCCGCGCGCTGCGGCGGGGTGCCGCCCGGCGTGCTGGCCGCCGCCGCGGCGCTCGCGCCGGAGATGGACGCTCCGGAGGCGTTCCCTCTGCTGGCGCGCGCGTGCCTGTCTCGCAGCCCCGCGCGTTTCGGCGGCGGCAGTGAATACGCGGGCGAGGGCGGCGGCGGCTGCAGCGGCGCGCTGGACGCCCTCGTGGGCCTCATCACCGCGCGGCAGCGCGGCGGGCTGACGGACGAGCAGTGCCAAGAGCTGATGGAAGCGGCCGTCGACTCCGCCGTCGCCGGCGCGCACGGCGCCCTGGCCGAGCCGGGCGCGGCGCAGCTGCTCGCGTCGGCCGCCGCGCGCACGGGCATGGAGCTGGCACTCACGACCATGGCCGCCCACGCGGCGCTCGCCGAGGGGTGGGGAGCGCCGCTCGCGGTGGCGCTGTGCGCTCTGCGCTGCGAGCTGCCAGGCAGCGCGGTGCCACTCCTGCTGGTGCACGCCGCGCGGCTTTGCGCCGAGGTGCGCAGCGAAACGGTCAGCCCGCTGCTGCCCGCCGAGATGCTGAGGTTTGTGATGGGCGAGGCGCGGCACGCGGGCTGCGGAGCGGGCGTGGAGGCGCTGCTGCTGGGCCGCGGGCGTGGGGCCTGGGGGGCCAGCGGCTGCTGCGGCGGCGGCAGCGGCGGGACCGGAAGCGGGAGCGACGGGGAGGGCGGCGCCGGGCGTGGTGGGGCGGGCGGGGACGCAGAAGAGGGCGGCGACGGCGGCGGCGGCGGCGGCGGTGGCGGCGCTGGAGGGGACGGCGGCGCTGCGGGCGGGCGCCAGGGCGGCGTCGCGGCCGGCGGCGGTGAGAACGACGGCGGCGGCGGCGGCGGCTGCGCGGGCGGTGGCGACCCCCAAGTGAGCGAATCCGACGCCGGCGGCCGGGACGCCCCACTGGCTGCGGCCTCGCTCGGGGCACGCCTGTGGTGGCGGG